ATATTATGCTAAATGCCCATTTGTAACTGCAGCAAACTCATAGATACACTATGGACTACAATACACAAATCCTGACCACAAGTTTCAGTATAAGAGATTTACTGGTCTCTCCCTTAAAGCAAGAAATATTCTGCAGTTCAGATTCATATAAGTAGTGCCTTTTAAAAAATAAATTAAAACTGCTATTCTGTCTGTATTATAAATATTTTTAGTCCATTTTACAGAATGTTAAAGTGGTCATAAATGTATTATCTCCCAGTAAATAAACATGGCACTGGAGCCAGTTTAGAAAACAAAAAAAAGCAGCACACTGGCCATGGAAATATCCAGGATTACTTTATATTTCCTAACATTAAAAAAATTAAACCAAATAAGGGGAAAAAGGAAAGAAGAAAAAGAAAGTTTACAAAACGGCAACTCCTATGATCTGAAATAATGTACAGAAATGTCTTCATTCAATTCAGTAAACGGAGCCATTTTTGGAATTAACATTTATGGATACCTGGGTAGGAGAGTGTTCTTTTAGTACTCAGGTCAAAATCACAAGATTACACTGAAATAATTTCCACATTCCATAAGGAAAGACAGACTTTGAAGAAGAGTGACTGTTTAAAAACCACATACCAAAATTAATCCGAATATTTGAGATTCATGGAGTGAAATCTTCAGTGGCATCAAAATTAAAAATTATCCCCTGGGCGCCACTCTTTTACCAATGGGAAGAAAGGAGACATGATTACAAGGTACAATATACAGTGACAAGCTATCATGAGAAACTATACACAATTTAAGTAACTGAAATGTTCCCTATGGAAGCATAAAAACATGATTTTCAAATTGATTCCACTTGTAGTGAGTCTCTTAGATGTAAGAAGTCGATTTCATTCTGGGGCCTGCTGAACTGATCTTTACATAAAACATTTCCTCCATCTCACAAAAAAATGGCTTCTGAACGGCACCAACTCCTTCAATGTGGGAGAGGAGGAAACGGGCTTCGCAGAGTGGCTTACTAAACTTGTTTCCACGGGCTTCACCAAGGTGATCCATTCCATCACATTTACAGTATCTCCAAATCTACATGTCGAACTTCAGGATTTCGTTTCTGGAAGGAAAAAATCACCACCACATTATTCACAGCATAAAATAAAATCTTCTGTTTCTTTTTATTTCTTTCCATCACTAGGGCCACCGAAAACATTTCATCAAGCTATTTCACTGTAGCACACCAACAAGAGAAATACTGCTGTACAAGACTAAAACAATCAGATCAACAGGTGAACAGACACAAGGTATGCGAGATAGTCCCACCTCCCTGAGGGTGGGTTTGTTCCTGTATTAATACAAAAATGCATTAGGATCTGATACGTACCAAGCATTGCACAATGAAAATATGTTTTAATGTTGAAGAGAAAATTATTGCAAAACAATAATAATCAGAAAGAGTAAACTGATACCACTGACTTTATGTATTTTAGCAACAACCCCTATAGTCTTGGGTTAGGCACTATGCTAGAAAATGGAGCTATGACTTTAAGTAAGACTCTGCTCCTGGCCAGGCATGGTGGCTCACACCTATAATCCCAGCACTCTGGGAGGCTGAGGCAGGTAGATTGCTTCAGCTCAGGAATTCCAGACCAGCCTGAGTAAGAGTGAGACCCTATCTCTAAAAAAGCCGGGCATTGTGGCGGGCACCTGTAGTTTCAGCTACTCGAGAGGCTGAGGGAAGAGGATTTTGTGAGCCCAGGAGTTTAAGGTTGCTGAGAGCTATGACACCAAGCACTCTACCCGGGGTGACAAAGTGAGACTCTAAAAAAAAGGGACTGTTTCTAACTTTGAGGGACTCAGATCAGTGAGAGACAGGTATAGGAATAACCACCTACATGTTAAAGTATTAGAGCTGATAGTGAAAAAAGTTTCCATTTATCGAGTACTCAACTCTTGGGTCAAGTTCTGTGCCAAGGGACTTTACAGGCACACATGCATGTGTCTTAAAATCCTCATAACAGGCTCAGTGCCTATAGCTCAACCGGCTAAGGCGCCAGCCACGTACACCTAAGGGGGCGGGTTCGAATCCCCAGCCTGGACCCACCAAAAACAACAATAACGGCTACAACCAAAAA